ACGGAGACCTGACCTTCCCTGTTAAAAAAGAATAACATGAATTAAATTAGCATGTTAAAATCCATTATTAGTTGTAACAGTTAGACGTACGAAACCGAAATGCAGTTACTTGAGTTGGAACACTTAAATCTCCTGAGTGAAACTGTAGTATAGTTCTCGGACCCGTATCTTACTCTTAGAGACGGAATTTCATTCACCCGTGGTATTCAATTTTCCATTTTGAATTTAAGGAAGTCGTATAAAAACTGGAGAGTTTAACCCTTGCTTGCAATTTGTATTGAACTTTTGTGAAATGAGAATTATTAGTTCGCGTCTTGTACATAGTAAATCAATTTATGGGAAAAACACAACCTTTTGACTTTTTCCTCGAATGTGTTCGATAATTGATCAGTTGTTAGCATTTTCAGTGATTTTGCGAAATGTTTTGGTTTTGATCACAGTTTTTATTTTTCCTTTAAATAATCACAAACTGGCATTAACAGTGTTTGTTAATTAGGGGGCATCCAAGGGGGTTATTAGAGAGACTTTACCACCTATCCCACAATTAATGATAACAAAAAATTCTGGCCTGTATCCCCTTAAATTCAAATTTGACGCAGCTTTATCCCCCCTCCCCCACCCCTCCCATTTGAAAAATGTTCCCAACGCCACAGATTTTTGATAAATAACACAACCTAGGGTTGAGAAAATTCTGCAGAGTTACGCGCAAATAATAACAAAAAATTGCATAGAGAACAGTACTATTGATTGAAGATGATATGTACTTCCTTTACAACGAACCCATTATTCTTAAATGCGACTTATTTGGCTTTGGTTGTGAGTAGCCTTGGAAAATTATATTTCCCCTGATTCCGAGAAATGAGGTAATGTTTACATCAAATACAACAACTCCAGTCTTGTTTAAAGGAATATTTCATCTTATATGGGGGAAAAAAAATGCTAAAATAAACAAGGGGCAAAGTTTTCAAGCTTGCAACTTTTTGCAGGTTATTTAACGAAGACAAGAAAGACCTACACCACATAGAGTTCTTTAGTATCATCTATATGATCGCTTGGTCTAAGTGCTCTCTACTTGCAAGTTTCTTGCTGTTTTCTGAGGAGGAGAGGACACAGGTAGAAGGTAAAACACGCAGGAATTGCCGTTGCAAATTTTTTGGAGAATGTCTTCCGGGTGCATGGATCCTACAACATGACTGTGGTCCAGGTCCATTGCCCCACCACTCTCCCCTAAAGAAGTATCAATTGTTGATTATTACTGAGTGTCAAGCTAGATCCTCTCTGTGACATCATCTGCTTGTTACCATATTTTAGTCACTAGATGAACGCCTTCAAATATGAAGCCAGTGATGTGATTATTTTAGAACAAATTACCGATCCACTCAGTCCGTTTTTCTTACCCATTATATTAGTTACTATTTTTGTTTTCGACCATGCAAATCACACCTGCAAGAAAATGAAAATTTAGTAAAGACAATGGGTCAATCTCTACGCATAGATAGCTTACTGTTTAAACACAGAAGCTTCAGCTGCAAAATGATCAGCAAATTCAACCCTCCTAAGGGATAAACACTGAAGCCTGACGTTACTCCCAAAACAGCTTAAAACGTTTCATGTTTTTAAATGCTTAAATCCATCATTAGTTATAAAAGTGGTACATGCCAAATCGAAATACATTTACTTAGTTTTGCTAGTATTCTTGTCCTCGATAATGCAAATCACACCCGCTAGAAAATGAAAAGTTCACTAAAGAATGAATCTTCAGTTGTACCGTAGTCGATCTCACGATGAAAATCCAACCGTTCCAAAGGGATAAACAGTGAAGCTTAACATTCCTTGTTGAAAAAAGACCTACAATTTTTATTATATTGGCCTGTTCAAATCAATAATTTGTTATAGTGTGACGTACAAAACCGAAATGCCATGTGCCTATTGACTTAACAGAAGGGCCGGAGAGCCAAATATTTTCCCTCCGGCCCCACCAGACTCAGTCAATAATCGTTTTTTCATGTGACTATTTATTGTCGAAAACTTCAACCTAAATAGGACGCGATAGAAGGGCACAAGAGCGTTAAAAAAAAATTAAATTAATAAATGATGCAATTAAATTTTTCCTTAATTTTTTTCGATCGCTTAGAGGAGGGAAGGAAATAATCTCAAGCTCAAATAATCTGGACACCCAGCGGTTGTTTCGGAGAGTCCCGACCGCAATTCATTATTTCAGTGGTTTCATTTTCAAAGCATTAGCCACAAAAGTCAACGTCTCGGTAAGTGCGATTAAAAATCTTTCATAGTCGCTCGATCTTCATCAGCTATAGTTATTTAGCAACTCTAGAGAAGTAAGGCTCTCGTAGGAAAGCCCAGTAACTGCTTTTTTGATCCTTAAGTTTCGCTTGTTTCGTCACGCTGTGAAAGAATCATCAACGCGCGAGAGATACATTCGTTCTACAGCGACTATAGTTTATCCTCATTATCTAAGATTACTGAGTTTCGTTCACTTTGAGAAATGATGATCAAAAAAACTAAACTCGGACCTATTTATGTCGTGGACTGTCCTTCGCTAATACCAAAGGAAATCCGCGGTGCTCAGTTACTTGGTTTTCCAGTGGCTATGATCTGTATCAGTTGCTAACTTAACCTTGTTTTAGGAGGGCTTAACGAACGATTAAAAGACTTCAGTAGATGCGAAAATTTCTACGTTCAAATCGAGCTCAATTCGTGGTATTGTATACATGGAAGTCTAGGAAATAAAAGCCCAAGGAAGCCCATTCTCTCTGACGAAGGCCAAACGCTCGAAACTTCAGCTCATAAAGCCATCACCGTGGCCAATTAACATTACCAACTCGTATGATGCACGATCCTCGCAGTAGATAGCGCTATTTAAGCAATAGCGAAAATTAGACCTGAAAAAAAAAATCAGGCCTGTACGGGATTCGAACCACTGACCTCTGCGATACCAGTGCAGCGCTCTACCAATTGAGCTAACAAGCCAACTGGGAGCAGGCCGTTAAGTTGATTCGTAATAGACCCGTGAAAGTGATAAATCAGATACAATGAAATATATGAAGTTCATATATT